AGTCCTGAGCAAACCAGGGAACACTTGAGGCCAGCCCTGCATGCAGAGCCTCAGAGCACGGTTTCTCCAGGGAAGAACTGTAAGAGCCTCCAGCATTAGGGCAGGGGGCCCTGCCTACCTGAGTCAGCAGCAGGCGTCTTGGGGTGGAGGCTGTCTTCCGGGCAAGGCTGGCAAACACGCCTAGGCCAGGTTCTGAGATTCTAGGCGGAAGGGCCCTTGCAGTCCCAGTGGATTTACAACTCTGTTTCTCTTTTACCTTCCATGCCCTGGCTTCTCTCCTGTTGATTGCAGCCTCGGAGCTGTTTTGGCCCTACTTTAAAACAGACCTGCCTAATAACCACCTGAGTCTACCATTGGGTTCCAAATTCTGCCTTCAAGGCGACCTGTTGTTCTTTCTGAAGCCTGCTTGAGAGCCATGGGGCTTCTTTCAACAGACCCTCTTAGGCCTTGGGGGCCTGCCTAGGGTATAATTCCCAGATTTGGGAATCTGAGATTACACATCCCACTGAGCAGGGAGGTTGGAGGTGGAGAGGCAAGTAGGGCTTTACTCGGATCCTGTTTCTTTGGCCCGGAAGGGCAGGTAAGCCTTGGCCTGCCACCCTGTTGGTGAGATAAGGGGCTGGAATGAATAGGCCTGGTGGGAACTATAGAAGGGAAATTCTTTGCATGATAGCAGCTCTTCAGCAGGGGAGGAAGTTGCCTTCTCTGGGCCTTGCCCCTAGAAGCATTATCTGTGAGACTCATTTTTCTAGTCTCTAGTTCTCTGCTTCCTCCCCACGGGCTCTCTTCATCTTGGCCATATCCCTGCTGTGGGAAACATCTTGCAACCTCGAAGAGGCATAATGAGGGTAAGAGAAGGACTGAGCATTTCAAGTCCCAAGAGATTGGGTGGTTCCTCTGGGGATGGCGGCATATGGCCATAATCTCAGTAATTAGGAGACTGAGGCAGGAGGATCACCATGAGTTTGAGGCCAGCCTGGACTACATAGCAGGACCCTATCTGAAAGGAAGGAAGGAAGGAAGGAAGGAAGGAAGG